CAGCCTCAACCTGCAGGGCTCTGGCGAGCCTTCCGCCTCAGCCTTCCAAGTAGCTGGAACTACAGGCACGTGCTACCACGCCCGGCTGATTTTTGATTTATTGTAGAGATGAGGTCTTGCCAAGTTGCCCAGGCGGGTCTTGAACCCGCGGGCTCAGGCAATCCATTCACCTCAGCCTCCCAAAGGCGCGGGATTACAGGCTGAGCCACCGAGCCCGGCTACCTGGCTAATTTTTTAATTTCTTTGTAGGGACAAGTTCTCACCGTGTTGCCCAGGCTGGTCTTGAACTCCTGGACTCAAGCAGTTGTCTTGCCTTGGCCTCCCAAAGTGCTGGTATTATAGGCATGATCCACTGCGCCCAGCCATACTTCACTCCTTTTTATAGCCAAATAATATTCTGTTGTATGGGTATGCCACATTTTGTTTATTCATCTACCTATCAGTGAACACCGGGGTTGTTTCCGCTTTTCGGCTTTTGTGAATGCTGTGTTGTTAGCATGGGATACAGGTTCTTTGTGGATGGATGTTTTTGATTCTCTTGGGCATAAACCTAGGAGTGGAAGTTATATTTTCACTGTGTTACTAGTTCTTATTGATTGCCCCTCTCCCCTGCTGTACTGAGCCAGACTGCTAATGTGCCTTCCTTTTTCTTGGGGCACAGGAAGACAAGTGTGGGGTGGGAACCCCAGTCCACAGCTGCAGTGTCCTTTCTGCCTAGGGGCACGGCCAGGTCTGTTGCTGGTGTGGGACGAGCTTGTGGAGAATCAGCACACTGTAGGGCCCAGCTACCATGAACCTGTGTTTTGGCACCACTGTGGGTCTTTACTCTGCCTCTGTAGAACCCCCTGCTGCAAGAAAGGGATCGGCAGTAGTGGGATGTGGCCGGGGTGAGGATGTGGGGGACACAACATCATTAAGGGCACCTGATCTCAAACCAGGCAAAGTGGGGACAAAGGGAGGCCCACACTTGACCCGTACAATGACCAGATGACCACTTGTATACCTGTATTGTATCCCACATCTTTAAAGTAAAATAAAATAATTTTTAAAAAAGTTAAGGTTTAAAAAAAATCCAGGCTGGGCTTGGTGGCTCAGCCTGTCATCCCAGCACTTTGGGAGGCCGAGGCGAGTGGACTGCCCGAGCCCACGGGTTCAAGACCCGCCCAGGCAACTTGGTGAGACCTTGTCTCTACAATAAATCAAAATTTAGCTGGGCATGGTAGCGTGCACCTGTAGTTGTGGCTACTTGGAAGGCTGAGGCAGAAGGATCGCTGGAGCCCAGCAGGGCG